GGACACTCTTGTGGGACACTCTTGTGGGACACTCTTGTGGGACACTCTTGTGGGACACTCTTGTGGGACACTCTTGTAGGGCACTCTTGTGGGACACTCTTGTCGGACGCTCTTGTAGGAAACTCTTGTGGGACACTCTTGTAGGACACTCTTGTGGGACACTCTTGTAGGGCACTCTTGTGGGACACTCTTGTCGGACGCTCTTGTAGGAAACTCTTGTGGGATACTCGTGTGGGACACTCTTGCAGGACACTCTTGTGGGACACTCTGCTAGACGAGCTTTTCGTACGAGACTTCCTCCAAAAGTCACGCGTCAAGTCTCAAAAACGAGCGTTTCGTACGAGACTTCCTCCAAAAGTCACACGTCAAGTCTCCAAAACGAGCGTTTCGTACGAGACTTCCTCCAAAAGTCACATGTCAAGTCCCCAAAACGAGCGTTCTGTACGAGACTTGCTCAAAAACTCACATGTCAAAGTCTGCAAAACGAACGTTTCGCACGAGACTTCCTCCAAAAGTCCAGCGGAAACACCCATCGGAGCACACACATCACGCAGCCCTGCCAAGCAGTTTCGCGATTCCAGCCCTCCAAATGACACCCGCTCACACGCCAATCCCAATGCGACAGCGACATTCACCTCTACCGCAACTCACAACCTCCCGATTCCCTGCGCCTGCCACGAATCTTTCCGCGTCTACACGTCTAACGCACACAAAGTACTGCGCCTGCCACGAAATGTCACCTCCGTCACGCCTCGCAACCTCACGATTCCCTGCGCCTGCCACGAGAATCGCACTTCCACACCTCAAAAAAGCCGCACAAAGTACTGCGCCTGCCACGAAAAGTGAGAATATCGTCTCATGTGAGCTTCAACAAAATTTGCACCACACCACACGTTTGGAATGATTTCGACCCGTTCTGAGCACACTCCCATCCACCAAAATCGCCATTTCAGCTGAGACTTGTCACGAAAACAGAGCTTCGATGCCACACCCTGAAACGCAAATCCCAATGGCACAGCCACATCCAACACCCCAAAAACACGACTCTCCAAACGCTAATCCCAATGGAACTGCGCAGCAATCTGCAGATCTCACAAACCGCTGCGCCTGTGCAGCGAAACGCATTTGGTTTCTTGCGCGGCGTGTCATTTTCATGCAAATCACAATGGAATAGCGGCGCAAACTGACACGTGACACATCCATGAAAAGTCACTTGAAAAAGCTTCCCCCAATGGCAGCGCCTTAGCGCTCTACTGCGAACGGTTGCGGACGGTTGCGGACGGTTGCGAACGGTTGCGGACGGATGCGAACTTAGAAACAACGGGTCGCGAACAAGGCTCTACCCCCAGACCCCCAAGAGTTAAACGAGAACCCTTCGCTACGCATTCGGGAAAATATTCGGGTGATGCCAAGGATTGCCAGGGTGGAAATCTAAGTTTTCAATTAGTTTAGTATTGGAGGGGTGGAGCTGGGATTGATTAATGGGGGGTGGTTACTTAATCCTGTGTTGACATTACAGGACACTCTTGGGACACTCTTCTGGGGCACTGTTGCGGGACACTCTTGTGGGACACTCATACGGGACACTCTTGTGGGACACTCTATCTGGGACACTCTTGTGCGACACTCTATCTGGGACACTCGTGCAGGACACTCTTGTGGGTCACTCTTGTAGGAAGCTCTTGCGGGGCACTCTTTTGGGCGCCAATCATCCCGCCCACCAGCGACACGCCGCGTTTACACCAGCATGTCTCGCACTCCCCAGCGGCACGGCGCCATGCAAACACACTTCCCACCAAGGCCGCGCAAATCCCAATGGCACTGCGACATCACGAACGTAATTTTGCCACACGGTCTGCCCACACAACACAAGCGCTTCGCACTAGACTTCCTCCAAAAAATCACGCTTCGAGTCTGCAAGACGAGCATTTCGTACGAGACTTCCTCCAAAAGTCACGCGTCAAGCCCTCCAAAAGTCAAGTGGAAACACCCATCGGAGCACACACATCACGCAGCCCTGCCAAGCAGTTTCGCGATTCCAGCCCCTCCAAACAACACCCGCTCACGCGCAATCCCAATGTCACAGCGACATTCACCTCTACCACAGCTCACAACCTGACAATTCCCTGCGCCTGCCACGAGTCTTTCCGCGTCTAACGCGGATAAAGTACTGCGCCTGTCACGAAATGTCACCTCCGTCACACCTCGCAACCTCACCATTCCCTGCGCCTGCCACGAAACTCGCGCGTCCGCACCTCAAAACCCGCACAAAGTACTGTGCCTGCCACGAAAAGTGACAATATCACGTCATGCGAGCTTCAACAAAATTTGCACCACACCACACGTTTGGAATGATTTCGACCCGTTCTGAGCACACTCCCATCCACCCAATGAAATCGACTTATGGTCACTGGGTTGTCTGATCCGCTGGTCCGCTGATCCGCGTGATCCGCTGGTCCGCTGATCCACTGGTCCGCTGATCCACTGGATCCACCGGTCCGCTGGTCCGCTGATTCGCTGATCCACTGGTCCGCTGATCCGCTGATCCACTGGTCCGCTGATCCGCTGATTCAACTGGATCCGCTGGTCTGCTGATCCGCTGATCCTCTGGCCCGCTGATCCGCTGATCCACTGGTCCGCTGATCCGCTGGTCCGCTGATGCGCTGGTCCGCTGATCCGCTGATCCGCTGGCGCGCTGATCTGCTGATCCCCTGTCCGGTGGTCCGCTGATCCGGTGGTCCGCTGATCCGCTGATCCGCTGATCCTCTGGTCCGCTGATCCGCTGATCCACTGGTCCGCTGATCTGCTGATCCGCTGATCCACTGGTGCGCTGATCCGCTGATCCACTGGTCCGCTGATCCGCTGCTCCATGGTCCGCTGATCCGGCGATCCGCTGATCCACTGGTCCACTAATCGGCTGATCCACCGGTCCGCTGATCAGCTGATCTGCTGGTCCGCTGATCCGCTGATCCGCCGGCAATGGTTGGACAATATGACGTCCATGAGTGCCCAAATCGCCATTTCAGCAGAGACGTGTCACGAAAACAGAGCTTCGATGCAACACCCTGAAGCGCAAACCCCAATGGCGCGGCCATCAACACCCCCAAAAATCTCTCTTTCCAAACACTAACCCCAATGGAACTGCGTAGAAAACTACGGACCTCACAAAACGCTGCACCTCCGCAGTGAAATCATCCTCCAAACTTCAACGTCTGACGCTTCCACAGACGGGTCGCGAACAAGGCTCTACCCCCAGACCCCCAGAGTTAAACGGGAACCCTTCGCTATGCGTTCGTGAAAACTGAATGTGTTTTGTGCCCAGGTGGAGAACCGGGTCTATGTGAGCAATTTGCCCTGGAACATTGCATGGCAGGAGTTGAAGGAGCCCTGAGGGCCTTGTGCTTGGTCAGCTTTTTCGCCTACTCGATCATTTTCAGGTCTCGCGGAATTCTCATTGGGGTTCAGAACTTGTGCTCTTATCAGTCCAGGTGTAAGTCGGATTTCGGGCTTGGGGATCGCCAGGATCACATGAAAACCGTCGGGGACGTGGTCTACGCTGATCTTTTCACCGAGGCCTTTCCTAAGAATTTGGTATGTTTATGCGTGACAGAAGGGTTGAATTCAGCAGCAGTAAATCTTACAGCAAAAAACACCAATTAGTTGAACTCTCACGCTTGGAGAAGATGCCGAAGACACGGGACACAAAAAATCAGACGCTGAAAGCTTGCGAAAGAAAGCGAGCTCCAAGGCCGGACGCTCTCGTGGCTGTGCTTTGGTTTCCTTTAGATCTCCAGAGGACGCACAACGAGCAGCCACTCGGACCACACGTTGATCTTCAAGGATGTTCATAAGATTCAACATTCCGCAAAAAGAGGTATAAATATACACTATATGACTATATGTATACGTAGTTGCATATGTATATTTTTATGTATCTTCAAGCCCGCGCAAACATTCAAAGACCTATCTGAGACCTAGGCAAGAGACTTGGGAAAGGACATGATGTTGATGACCAATGGCACTAGCTCATTAGAGAAAAGTTCTTCTTTGAAAGAAATAGGTTTTGGACTAGGGTAGAAGGTCCATGAAGGAAGAGTTTACACCAGGGAGCGGGCGCCTGTTGAGTAAACAGGTCCTGTTTATAGAGAGAGAGGGCTGTTCAAAAGAAGGAGCTGCCATCGCAGGAAGTAGGTGTGTAGCTGCAGATGTGTTATGTCAGAAATGTATTTTTACCTGGGTTGGACGGCCACGAAGTGCATAGCATGTTGTGACTGCGAAGGAGTTGGTTCAGCGAGTAACATCTTCACAAAGAAGAACCTTCAAACAAAGATGGGTCGCAAAAGTACAGCGAACGAATTGAGTATTAGTTGTGTGTGGGTGGAAGTGTTGTTTTTGTTTTGGGCCGGGCCCCCTTTCCGTGTTGGTTGGCTGAACCTTGTTACACACTATGCTCTTCCGCAGTGCTTTCACACCATATACATGCCAATATTTTTTGCCTCAAGGTGCATGCGTGTGTAAAAGGCCCGCTCGTTGCACTTCGTTCCACTCGCTCTTGTGAGACCAGTTGCACTGTAAGCCTTCGATCCAGGATACTAGACCAGTGCACCCACTGCGAGGGGATTGGGCCCACTAAGTCGGAGCTCGCGTTGCTCCAGAGCAGCTACAGTCAGCGCACAACGAGCGATAGCGAACCAACCCAACCAGGATACGAAACAGATTATTTTTCCGAAGGTGGCTGCTATCAGCCCCAAGCAAATGCGTGCGCTGCACAGCTTCCTGAGACGTCTGCACTTCGAGCGACTCCCAAGATTGCGCAAAAACTTGACGGATTGACATCTTGGTTCGAGAACGGAGGTCGTATCGATGATTGGTAGAACCTGACGACCCTGACCGCTGAAAAACATGGACCTGGATCAACAGCTTAGCGGCACGCTTCAAGTCAAAGGCGTGCTAGAGAAGCGTTTGCTCGCAGATCCAGATCATCGCCCATTTTTCACCAAACAGTGCAAGTTTCTTCAGTTCTTCAGAGGATGGTGGGCTAGCCATGAACTGGTCACACGGATAGGCCTTGTCGAAATCACCACAAGACGACTACCATCAGCTTGGACGCGCCTCCATCGAGACTTTCCACATCCGGAATCCCGCCACAATCTGATTTCACCCACGCTTTAATTCCTCAAGAAAGACATGAGATAGGACTGCTAGGTGCAGCAGGTAGACCAAACCCGCTATGGGATGCCAGGACAGGAGTTGCAAGGCGTACGCGTCAGAATGCATTTCCCCTGCCAGGGAACTTGATGGCTTTGATATTCATTGCGCAGGCCAGTTTGAATGAGCAACGTGTTTCAGCCACGAGCGCACTGCGGATGCCCATGGAAAACTATGAGTATCAGGCAGTCACGGCGCAATTTCTTCAACTGGTTTGTATCAATGGAAACAGCGTCACTAGCATCCATTTTCCAGTCTTGGCATTGAGTGTTCGAACTGCAACTTCTGCTCGTTCATAAGCCACTGTGTTCCTGTGTCCACATGAAACCGTACAGGTGTGGAAGTCTTCATCAACATAATGCAATAAACAAGGCAATGGTTTCCTTGGCGTTCATGTTGTTAAGCGCATACGCTGTTGCGAAGGATGTTGCACCCTCGCGAGGACAAGAAGAAAGACCCATTTCTTTTTGCCATTCTCAACGCTCAACAAAATATTCGCTTCGCGCGCCTGAAAGGCCTTAAATCTTGGCGCAGGTTAATGCTGACTTGCGCTCGTTTAACCGTCAAACTGAGACTGTTCTTTAGCAAGTTTCAATTCGGAAGTTCTTCTTCTAAACTGTTTAGTTGACATGTGTTTCAGGTGGAGGCGCAGCATTCCGTTGATGCCTTCTCGGTTTTGACCTTTCCTTTGTTCTTTCTACTCTTCGACTTGGGCTCACCTGGCGCTATCTTGCGCTTGACGGGTTCCTCCGGCCGCGCCTTGCGCAAATCTCGTTGAGCTCAACATCGGGCGGGCGAGCGGAACTGCTGGGCTTTCAGCTATTACCGAAACCTACATCTGGGGCTTTCGTCCGTTTGGTAGCGTATCAAAAAGTTTTGGTCTTCTCCTATAGTGCGAGGCTTCATCTTGATCAATGTCTGGCGGATGGAAAGAACTGGAGTATCAGTACTGGTCTTTGCCGGTAGTTCGGCTTTAGCTTCTGCAGTTATTGTCGTGTGTATGAGGTCTGTGTTTGCCATTGCGCGCAGGACAAATAACTGAAGCAAACCTGTGGCTATGATGTTTGCTAGTCCACCTTGTCTGTTCTCACGCAGTGGGTCGAGCGTTGCCACGCCTCGGGAGCGATCACGATGTCGTGACAAGGTTCGCGACCTGACAAGTGTGTTGCTGCAATTTGCGTGAGGGGGAAGTTCTCCAATTTGGCCGGGGGGGCGTTGCGCAGGAGCAGAACGCGCAGCAAGGGCAATCAAGACTCAGGTTAGTAGATGCGCGAAAAGAGTCTTGTTTCAACACAAGTTGCCGCTCGTGGCTGAACCGTTGCGAGCCCTCAACAATTTTGTCATGCCTGCAACTCATGCCACGTTCTCCGAGCGTCGAGGGATTGCATCTTTGCCCTTACCAACGTGTGTGTGTGGCGCGGGCACAGGAGCCACCAGCAGTGCATCCTAATGCGCGCAAGATAGGAAAGGACGTTAACCTGATAGAGGACGTTGACATTCCACTACATCCTCCGGACAGTGTGTGATGCTTCAGGCGTGTTGATGACGGCTGACGCTGAACAAGCTTCACCCTTCTTGGAGCCCCGTTTGTGACCAGTCACCGAGGGCAAGCTTGACGTCTTAAAGAGCTGTTCAGCAGTTCTTTGGGACATCATCTTTATGGCGCCGCCATGGTCACAGATGAGTCATACGGATGATAACGCAACTCGATGCCACCTGGACCTTCATCTTTAGCAGCGGTATGAGATGGAGTCACCTCAGACTCCACACATCCACCATCAAGACCCTTGCGTCGCCTCATCGACTTGTTCTGCCACCTGTTCCTCGCAACCGCCAGTCGTCGCAACCGCCTCAACCAACCATCCAGGACTCTGAGTTTGCCTCAAAACCTCCTCCTGCTTGGCAGATGCCAGCGGCGTCCATCTGAGCGCGATGCTTCACGCGATTCGCAGGTTTCGTCGTCATCTTCTTTGTTGTAACTGAGACAGTTCCTGCATGGCGATCCCACTTTGCCAAAGAAGAAACAGGGGAGAAGAATCAAGGAAGAAGAAGAAGAAGATGAGACAGATGCAGACACGATTGACAACGGTCTTGGGAACTCAGCTGAATGCACGCTGTGTTCGAATACTGCTTCATTCACAGCGCCGCGCGCCTGTAGATGCGGGTTGAACCACGTTAAGGGCGCAAGTCATGAGCGCAAAATTGCTGACACGCACGCTATAGACCGCATGACCGGCTTACGCAGAAGTCACGAGCCCGGCGTAATCCGACACTGAGGAGGTCTATTCCGGACGTAGCGAGGAAGATAATGCATGTTTGACCCCATAGCACCAACAGGGTCTGGCTGTCTTATGGTCAATATAGAATACAACAAGGCCGATTGCAACGAAAACCTGATCGAGAGGCGTCGCCTTTCCCGGCAGGGGTTGCGCCGGGCTTCGAGTGAAGGTGAAGCGCTCAGTTGCAGCCAGGCTAAAGACACCGATCCATGTTCAGGTTGATCGTCAAGACGAACCCTGCTCAGACTCGGAAGGCTCAGATCATGCGACCAAAGGGAGAGGATACTCCGCAGGCAGGCATCAACGCCTACAGAAGAAGGCAAAGCCCGTAGCTGGCAGTGGATATCAAGGACATTCGGCGGGCAGGGACAAGCGCTACACAGTGTCCGCCAGGCCAAAGAAAGACTGACCGGGTGATCGTTTGGTGTGTGGGGCGGGCAGCTCGCCCACCATCTGGTCGCTATGCTGCGTGGCTGGGACGAGCCGTCCTATACCGTATACCAAATACAGGAGTTCAAATCTACGTTGATGATCCGGCCTTCGTCCACTCGGGTGACCTTGAAGGATTGCCGGACTGGTCCCACACCTCCGGCCATTCCTCTCCACTATTTGGGCGACCCTAGGAGACTGTAGCTCAACGAGCGACGGAGCCAGCAAAGCCACGCATTCTGGACAGTTGGTGCAAACTTGAAGGATCAAGCCTGCTTTAAAGTGGATTGCGGCGCTGGGTGGGGATCCAGCTCCATTAAGTTGTGGCCGATGCCTGCCCATGGGGCATTGCAGAGTCTGAGGATCAACAACGGACACCCTCCTCTGTATTTTTCAAGTCGCAGACCAGACAGTGCGTTGCCCAGATTTAAAGTGCACCGTTCATATCATGGTTCACATAACGGTGCAAGCGCGACCAAGGTAGGGTGGACAGACACGTTTGAAGCAATCGCAAAATTATTGGGGACGCCGATGCTCCATCCCAATGGGGTAAGAAGAGCCTTCACCGGCCACACAGCTCGAGTGTCTGGTTCACGCTACATGGCCACGCGCCGCATTGATTTTCTGCGCGTCCAATAGTTTCTGACGTCTTTCCGCATTACATCAAGGACGCCCCTTTGGCGCAGCGTGATAAATTAGCCTTAGAGTTGACGGCTGCAATGTCTGCGCAACGCGCCAAACAAAGACCAAGTGACCTCGATACAGAACCAAATTCAGGGCGCCGCGACGCCATTTATGCCCCCTGAGCCCAAGACTGCGAAGCAGGGCTCCCATTTGCACTGCAGCCGATCGCAATACAATCCTACTGTACAGTCTACACACTGACACACTTATCCGCACGTCACGCACCAGGTGTGGTTGGCCTTTCAGCCTTCACCATACTGACTACAAAATCTTGGGTGAGGGTAGCACTGCACCTGTAGACACAGCTAAATGCAAGCGTTGCTTTCCCGCAACCGCCCACCTAGTTCCGAATCTGGTTCTATTGTTTCAACTCTCCAGCACGCGCGTTAACACCGCAAGTGGGTTAGGAATTGGCGTTAGGGCACATTGTCTCGTTGCTGCTCTGGGTAGCGCGTAACAGAGCTAACAGAGCAGGGATCCTTACAACCACTGCTGGAAAGACTAAACTTTGTTTACGGTGGGCGCACGTCTTGTCGAAGCATTGGCTGGACAAGTTGCGAGCGCGGTAATGGGCACTCTGCGTGCCATCTTGGCTCAAGAATTCTCCTGCGCCCGCCCTTCCCACCCTGAAAGGCGAGGTGGCACAGCGCCTTGTATAGAGCAGGCGTATTCTTGAACCCTTCTAGGCGCATTGTCTTGGCTGTAAGGGCGCGTAACAGAGCAGCGACCCTTGCGACCACTGCTGGAAAATTGCAACTCTGTTTACGGTTGGTGGTAGGGGTTGCACGTTTTTGACTTGTCCGTCTGCGTCTTGATGACTTGCACATGTCAAGGTGCGTGGCTTTGTTTGTCTCGGCTTGATGACTTGCACATGGCAGGAGACGAGCACTTTGAGAGTCCTTGCAAACATCAGATACGGCGTTGACCACAAGCTAGCGGTAGATGCAGGCGAGGAGACAACTACAATAATAGAAGAACACAGCAAGGGACCTCGCGCGCGATCCGAAGATGAATACGGCCTACGTAGCATTCTTGGTCAGCTTATTATCTGGCTTCGTCGCAGAACTTAAGTTCATTTTTGCTACAAGTTCTCACGCTGTGCGTCACGTGCCGCTAAGCCAACTATCGGTGATTGCAAAGAACTCAGCAACGCTGTGAGATGGCTGAAGTGCCAGTATGTCGATGCCTGCAGGGCTCGCTAAAAATCGTCCTATCGCGCGGAAACAAAGGCAAGGGCCTTCGGCGGGTTACGCAGGCCGCTGAACCTCTGCGCCGATTGTAGCGGCAACGCATTACCTATTCACATCCGCTCTGATGCAAATGACCTCGACACAAGCGTGCAAACCACACATTTGCGAGAGCAAAAGAAACACATCGCCTCAGACGCTGCGGCACATAACAGGGGTCAACTCCAGGGCTTAAGCCATGTCACCAGCGAAGGCTGTTTAGCAGACAGGCTGACGAAACATAGTGCCAAGCCACGGGCCAGCTTGTTAATTTTTTGACACCAGCGCGCTTGAATCAGTAGACATGCATCCACCATTCGGAACCCTCGATAAGCATAAGGCATTTGTAGCTGAATGGGTGAGACCATGCTGCAATGAAGCTCATCCCGGCTAAAAGTTTCTTTCGTGAAGATGCGGCGGAAGAGGTCTACGCATCCTTTTTATAAACGAACATTTCTGCGCGTCGCCGCACTATAGCAGCTTGGTGGACTGGCTTTTGCCTGTTTCTAGATAGCCAGCTTTTTTCAATTCTCCCGCGTTAAATTTGCTTTCGATTCCGCAAGACCCGCAGCCTCCAAAGAGTTGGTGGTACCAACAAAGTTGCACGGAGTAGCGTCAATGGCTGCTGCAGCGGCAAAACACAATAGGAGACTGACGGGATGACTCAAATCGAGGTACGTAGTATGCTCCCGGGAGGCGGGGCTTAAGCCATTCGTGAAACGGCAAGTTTATTGGAATCCAATATAGGATGCCTGGTGTGGGGCATAGCAGTCCACGTCGGACCCTGCAGCGGACGTCACTGGCAATCAGGTGGTACCAATACTGATTTGTCGCGCTCTTTGGCAGAACTCATGCCAACAGAACTATAAGCTGGTTCGTGAAATGCGCCTAACGAACATGCTTCTGGGGGGGCCAGGCGCGGCTCTTTGTCCAGGACCTCCGGCAAATTCAACGCCGACTCACAACAACGAGAAACCTCAACGTCCTGCCACCCTTGAGGAAGAAGCGCCGGAAAGAAATACCGGATCAGACTCCACCAGCGTCAGATTATCCATCCCACGATGCCTTTGTATAACATCGTGAACAGCGACAAGGCAGGCTGGCGCGGCTGATTTCACGAACGCCTGGACACAGCCTTGCGGCATACACCATAAAGGCCCCACCAACACCAGTCAGCTGCGCAGTCCGACCGACATATTGTCCGCGCTACCGAATTCACATCGCACTACCAGGAAGGCCTTGACGCCAAGCTGCAACTGCAGCTTCTCTTGGTAAAGAGATTTGGACATATTTGGGGGCTAAGAGACATAGACTCAATCTCAACAAAAGAAACAGACTTCTTTAACACCTTTCACATGACAGTGGTGATGGTGGTGGTGGCGGTGGTGGTCGGGTGGTCGTAGTAGAAGTAGAAGTGGAAGTAGGAGTAGAAGTGGTAGTAGTAGTAGTAGTCGTAGTCGTAGTAGTCGTAGTAGTGGTAGCAGTAGCAGTGGTAGTAGTGGTAGTAGTAGTAGTAGTAGTGGTAGTAGTAGTAGTAGTGGTAGTTGTAGTGCTAGTACTAGTGCACTAGTACTACTGGTACTACTACTAGTACTAGTAAGTAGTAGTGGTAGTAGTAGTAGTAGTAGCGGTAGTAGTTGTAGTCGTAGTCGTAGTAGTAGTAGTAGTAGTCGTCGTCGTCGTCGTAGTAGTAGTAGTAGTAATGGTGGTAGTACTAGTGGTAGTAGTGGTGGTGGTAGTAGTGGTGGGAGTACTGGTAGTGGTGGTGGTGGTAGTAGTACTAGTATTAGTATTAGTATTAGAATTAGCATTATTAGTAGTAGTAGTAGTGGCAGTGGCAGTGGCAGTGGCAGTGGTGGTAGTAGTGGTGGTAGTAGTAGTAGTGGTAGTGGTAGTGGTGGTGGTAGTGGTGGTGGTAGTAGTAGTAGTAGCAGTAGTATGAGCAGCCTTGATTTTGCTGAGCGTCCTGAGCCCTGCCTTTGTCAAACTCTAATGCGCAATTTGCGCAATTAGGAATAGCCTGACCCCAATGATTTGGGTTTCCTCGGCTCTAACTTCACAGTCCCTAACTTTAACAAATTGAATCTCTCCCACACGCCCAGGCTTAATCGCAAATCTCGCAAAGCCTTACACGGAAACTATCCACAAAAAACAGGGTCTGGGTACATGACTTGAGAACAGTTTCCAACTAGCATCAACAAACATTGAATGCCTCGCATTATTTGACAAAGTTATTTCACAAGCTTGCCAAACCAGATTGGAGAAGACGCGCATGGTTTTTGACCGCAGTTCAGCTGAGGTGATGGAGCTCCATGACACAGACCTCGGAGGAAGGAAGATCATCGTTCGCGAGGCAGAGCGGGCAAGCTGCGCAGCGTGTAACATGTACCGCGTGCAATGGATAGACCAGGCGGTATAGCGAACAAATGGTAATTTGTGTCTTCCAGGATCGCGTGGATCAATCCACTCCATCAAAGGACTGGACGAGATCGGATGCCAAACATCCCGTCGCAGTTTTGGCCTGAGAGCGCGTTCAAGCTGAGCTGTTTGGAGGAGTGTCGGGTCTATGTTGGCAACCTATCTTGGCAAGCTACGTGGAGAGAGTCTTGGTTTGTTAACGGCTATGCGTGGTCTCTCCATGTGCCATTTGTAGAACAAGTTATTTGTAACAAGCTGAGTTGTTCTTCAGCGAAGGATCTCAAAGACCATTGTCGGGCTGTCGGGGAGGCCATGAAAAGGATCGAGCCGCTTCGACCCTTTGAGCCCTCGATCTATTCGCAGGTGAGGAGAGCAGATGTCGCCGGGGATCTTGATGGCAATCCTAAAGGCGAAAGCCTCAAGAAAGCCAAAACGCAAATTGCACGACAAGCCCACCGACCAGAGCTGCGTGGCGCAGGTTACGGCATTGTGGAGTTCGCCAGCCCTGAGGAGGCATATCGCTACAGAACAAAGAATCAGGGAGCTGGAGAAAACTGTTTGTGGAAATTTGTTTTCAGAAAATGCGAAGACGGCCGACGATTCAAGGGGACCTTGACCCGATTCCTGGTTCATGATGCAAACGCTGAGGCACAGGCTGCCGTGGAACAGCTCACAGGCACTGATCTCTTAGGACGGAAAGGGAAGGAAACAGAGAAACTGCGACAGAAACTGATTTTGTTGTGTTCGTTCTGTTTTTGGGTTGTTTTCTTGTTGCGTTTGGTTGTTGTTGGGCCGTTCACAGGACGAGAGATTTTTGTGCGAGAAGATCGCGAGCACAAACCTCAGGGATTCCAGATCTTGATCCACAAGTCACCACACTGGCTCTGGGCAAGTTGAAAATTATGGTCTTTTGGAGTTTCTTCTTAAAAGACAAGATGCAACCCATGAACCCGAGTGCAGACACGCACTGGAAAACAATGTCCAAATAATGCTTGACATTCTTGTGAGGCACTCTCGCGCGACACTCTCGTGGGTCACTCTTGTAGGACACTCTTGTATGCGAGGCTCTTGTGGCACACCCTTGCAGGACACTCTTGTGGGAAACTCTTGTGGGGTGCTTCGCGACACTCTTGCGTGGCGCTCTTGCAGGACACTTTTGTAAGATACTCTTGTGGTAAACGCTCTTGCAGGAGACACTGCTGTAGAACATTCTTGTGGGACACTCTTGTGCTCTTGTGGTAGACCCTCGCTTGACACTCTTGTTGGACACTTTGGGGGGCTCTTGTAAGACACTCTTGCGGAAAATTCTTGCAAGGCGGCGCTCTTGTGGGATTTGTCTTGTGGGGCACTCTGGCGAGCCACTCTACTCTTATGTCTTATGGGACACTCTTGTGGAGTTTTTTGTAGGACACTCTTGTTCGAGAGTCTTGTGGGACACTCACTCTTGTCGAAAACTCTTACTTGTGGGATTCGCTCGCGCGACTCTGGTGCGCCACAGATACAACAATGCCAGCACGCTTTCCTTCTCCAAAGGGCACGGACTTTCCACCGAGGCCGTGCAGAGTCGCATTACACACGTCACGTCGCCACGGTGCGCCACAGACGATACAACTATCCGGCGATGCGTCGCGTTTACACCAGCATGCTTTCCAATTGGCACGGACCACGGACTCCCCAGGCCGCGCAAAGCCGCGCAGCGCAGCGACATCACCGACGTAATTTGGCCACACTCCGCACTATATTTGCGCTACAAAGTTTGCTAGTTCTGAGGCCACAGCTCCCCAAAACTCACGCCCAGTCTGCAGAACTGTAATGCCTCCAACATTTACAAAGTACAACGCCTGCCATGAAAAGTGACGACTTGACATCCTCATGTTTTCCGCAATAGTTGCACCACACCACTTGTTTGGAATGATTTCGACACGTTCTAAGCACAGTCCCATCCACCATAGTCGCCATATATAGCTACGTAACAGCCTCAAACGCACATCTCCATGTCTCACAGCCACATCCACCACCTCAAAAGCACCACCCCTCAAAGCCAACCCTCACAGCGAAGAAAATTGAGGATCGCACAGAACGCTGCACCTGCACAGACAAAGCATCCTCCACACTTCGACCCGCTGCATTCTGACTCCTGCCTCCATCCATAACCTCCTCCAAGAGCTTCGCCCAATGTCAGCGTCATAGCGACCAACCGCTGTCTGCGGCTGACCGGACGGTTGCGGACGGCTGCGGACGGCTGCGGTCGCTACGACAACGAGTCGCAGACGAGTCCACTCGCAGACCGTTAAACGAGAACCCTTTGCCAAACATTCTGCTGTTTTTTTTCTTAACTCTTGGCACCGCTTTTGTTACACTTTGAGGGACAACAAGTCAAGTGCTGCCCGGATTGCCAGCGATTGAACTGTCAGTGGACGTGAAAGAACGAACAGTTTCCGCATTCGGATTGGGATGCTGACGTGCAACCGTGTGCAACCAGTAAGACACCGTGATACATTAAAGACAGGCTACCAGCGACCACTACCATTTCTATGCGTTTGATTACGACTTTGCTGTGGCGCGTAAGGAGAGTCACTTGCGCCACCAAGGCTTCGAGAGGTCGTTGTCTTAGTGCACCACGCAGGCACAATGAAAAAAAAAAACAACACAAAACAATTATTTTTTACCACAAGTGAGGCGCATCCAGCTACGGCGGCTATGGTTATAACGAGCAAGGAGTGTCGGTTGGGTCTACATGAAGCTATGCGAATCAAGTCCGACCAGGACCCTACACAAAGGTCTTCGTTGGAAATTTGCTTGAAACCTGGCTAGAAACCAATGTCCAATTTGACTTTAAAAAAGAAAGAAACATGGAGGAAGAGAAAGACCTGGAGAAAATCCAAAGAAGGCATAAAGAGAGTTTGAGTATATATAAAGCGAAATGCAACGCCTCGCTCGAGGCCGTACTCTGTGACATGGCAGCAGTTGAAGGCGGTGAAGAAACGAGAGAAGAGCACTCTCCCTCGGTGTGGAGTTCTCTCCGTTCGCAGGACGAGATGCGACAAGTGGGTGAGGTGCAACACGTCGAGCTCTTCACCGAGAACGCCGAGCCACACGGCCGCTCCAAGGCGAGGTGAGGAGATTGGAGTCTTGGGCGTCACAAAAGCCAAATATTTCGACGAAAAACACTGTTTGTTTCAGGATTGCATAAAGACAGCTATGTTATGTTCTTGATGAAGACAGTTTGCGTCCGTTTGGTGCAAGTTCAGGGCTGTGCAGTCGTGGAGTTTGCGACCTTTGGTGCAGCCAAACGGGTGGCCCAGCTGTGGAGATGTGGCTTGTGATTGCTGTTAAATGATGGACTGGGTGGGCAATTGTCATAGTTTCATTGTTCCGCGAACTGCAACCGCTTTGGCCAGCTCATGCACTTGTGCATTTTCCGTTTTAGGCTGTACAGTACTTGCACGACACGATGCTACAAGGCAGATGTCACATGGACATTTCATCATTTGCATTGCAGCCAAGTCGCCAGGCCGGTATATGTACGTGAGAGAGTACTACGAGGGTGCACGGAGAGAAGGCACGAATGACGGCATGTGTTTGTGTCGTTCATACGAAACAAAGATTTAGACAGCAAATGACGAATGTCCGGGTCCCACAGGGTCCCAAATCGAAAGATCTCTCCCAGGTTGGGATGCCAGGTGCCTCAGATGCTTCACCGGACGTCGGCCGAACCTTCGAGTCGTTCGGTTCAAGTTCCTTCACCCAGGCCGGAAGACAGTTCCCCAAGTTTCGAGTTAAGGCGACAGAGGAGGGGCAGATGTTAGATGTTCCAACAGTCTTCATACTTAGTTACTTGTTCAATGGGTCACCAGTTGTTTTCTTGCCAGCTTGAGGCTCAATAATGCCGTCTGGCCAAGTGGAAAGATGAGCAGCACTGGCATAGCACTTGCATATTGTTGCTCGTTTCGTCCAAGATGGGCTTCGCATACACGGGCGGTTGGGTCAGATTGCTTGGGGTGGGGAGTTCTGAACGGGTTAAACTGCTAAGTGCACCTTGCAAAGTTTGCTGGCCTTTGACCACCACACGCCGCATCATCATGTAGTCTCTCACAAGACCATGTTTAGCTGCCTTTTGCAAAGGTCCATCTTGAGATCACCCCCCCAGAAAAAAAGAAGCTAGTCCAAGCCAGTTGCTGATCAACAACATATAGAAACACCATCATTGTGTCTCTGAGAAGGTTTTGTTGTAGTGTAGGGCATTAAGGTGTCGGTGATGTCATAGTAGAGTGAACCACTGCACGAAGTGCAAGCAGGCCATTCAATCAGGTTTGCCAAATTGACATTAAAGCCTTCCAAGCCGTTTCCGCTGCGCCAAGCAATGTCTTGTTATACTATATGTCTTGTTTGAATTCCTTTACTGTCAAGCAATGTCAATTATCGTCCACGGCAATGACAACATCTATCTTCCCCCATTTTGCCGTCCCCTGGATCCAGTTTCTCAGTTCTACATGCCATCTTCGTACTCGGTCCTTCACCTGATTGTTTTCCTGACAAATCACAATGTCCTGGTCGATGCTTCCCAACTCTAGACTCCTAACTTTGTTCTTTGAAGCGCGATCTATATATATATATTTGCAAACCAAGGGGGTTTCCCCTAAACAACGAAGGCTCCTGCCCTCCGCCCCGCGGCCGCTTCCCTTTTGCCCATCCTCGGACCGAAAGGTGCCATGGAACCGCATATGTGGCACTGCTTTAACACATACTTTCGAACTGCTCGAACAAGGGAATTGGCCATCTGATCTCGACTTCTCTTCTCACGCTTCTCGCTCTTTGGGAGATGAGTGGATCTGAGCGGCTTGAGCGAAACGGCCCCCACGGCCTTTGCCACTCTGCACCCATGTGAGGTACTTGTGATGGCTCTTGTCGGCAACCAACTCTGAATAGCTCATCTTGAGAGCTTGAACTTTTGGCAACTTGCATACTGTCGTACCCAGTCTGGAATGCATGACACGCCTGGTGGAAGATCAACAACCTTGCTCTTTCCTTGCGACATGGGTTGGATCGGCAGCTGAGATGCAGTCTTCTGATTCTCCCGGCTTGGATGCCGGCTGCCTTGGCCCTGGCGAGAATTGCCTCTGCCGCGATCAGCTCCGCTGGAGTCACTGGCATCTGCTTTGGTGCCATTGTTCTACAAAGCTGTACTCACACGAATGTTTCTGCGCGAGAAGGCTTGAGATGCGAAATGAAAACTCTGCCCACGGAAATTTGCGATTCTGATCACTGGCTCCATGAAGGTTCTGTGCATTTGCACACTCAAACAAAAACATGCAATCACTAGCACGACACGTGACTGTCACGACGACGAGCTTCGACTCAACCTCAAACAAGCATCACAAAAGAAAAAGAGCATTTCTCCATATTTCTCCCATCTTGTGTTCTATTGACTCTGCAACCCCTTTTCACAGAAATCACTGCACAAGAAAAACGAGTGCAAGCCGGATTCAATGCTTCACTGTTGAGATTGTTCTTAAACAACTATCAAAACTAATTCGTTTGGCCCGATTGGCCCTCTTGTGCTTCTGACGGCTTAGATGCTACTTGCTTTCTGCGTTCACGCTCTTCTTTCTTACGATCTAGTACGGTCTGCTCGTTTGCTGGTAGCGAGCTGTCCGCAACACGGATCAGAGAAGGTCGGCTCTACTTTGTCGGTTAACCCATTTGCCATGTGTGTGGTTGGTGTCCGGTTCCGGCGATTGCTGTCCGTTTGTCAGCACCCCTCCGGTGGTCAAAAGCGAACGAACGTCAGGTCAGGTCGCCTATTGGCGAACGCCAGAACCATCCGACCGGTCCGACCATCCAAACATTCTGCTAGATCTCACTCACGCAGAAAACTTGAGCCTCTCCGGATGCGACAACCGGAAGACGATAGCTCTTCCAGGCGAAAATGAACCGGAACATCTGCCCCTTGTCTCGGTCTGAAGTGAAAGGCAATCCACCCACCTTGGGTTACCAGAAACACTGTCAACTCTTGAAGGGATGTATGGTACAGTGATCCGAAGGTCTGCCTGTTGTCGAGCACGTCTCACCGCCTGATTTGCCTGGAGCAAGTCAAAAACGGTTGGCTGAGGAAAGCACTGCTGGCTTTGAGATGTCTGAACTGACAGCTCCGGACGTGTCTGTGTACTCAACCAACTCAATGCTCCATTCACTGCCCTCAACGCTGAGATCTCTTGAGGACTGGCCGGAAGCCAGGGTCGCTTGGCTCGCTCCTTGTCAATCTTGATGGGTCGAATGTGTTCCGCATATTCTTTCTGCCCAAAAGAATTTTCTTTGGTTTCCGGATGTTGCTCATAGATGGTTCCTAGAAACTCACCTGTCCCTGACCGCCATTTCCGAAAAGGAAAACGAGTTCTCAGCTTGTCCACTGCGGCTTGGTAACATGGACCCGAACCACCCGTGATACTGTCATCAACATGCGCACCCAAAATCCCTTCAAGAGAACCTTCAGGATTGAAACACAGATAAAGACAACTGTCGAACTTGCTTCTCACAAATCCTGCAAGTGCCTTCTCGAACTCGCAATACCACTCGAACTCGTATCGAACTGGTGCATCATTTGCTCCATTTTCCTGTTGCGGACCTGAACCAAGGAGCCCTCGACACGAACTCCGGCCAGTGCCTTCTCTCGGACGTTTTCCAAGAAAGCCCCTTTTATATGTCGATGCATGGTCCATTTGTTGCTTACTATCTGGAGTATGAGGCTTCTACCAAACTGTGAGAGAGTCGGCGAATGGCACTGGCCTGCCAAAACCTTGGTGAACAGGTCTGGATCATGATGACCCTCAGGCACTAACGCGATTTGATTTTGCTGTGTCCATCTTCGTGTTTTTCCACAATGACAAAACGACTGGTCATGATCCGATCTTGCTTTCGTTCGCGAATTCGCTTCGCCTCGGATGGAGGGATTACTTTGATTGCTCTCTTCTCATCTCTCAGAGTACACCATTCAACAATTTTGGACAAGTCAACCTGTTCTTGAACCTGAGCTGGATTGTTCGAATGATGTAGCTCCTTTTGCATGTTCTTCTGAAGAAAGCTGGCAATCAAAGCCTCGACACAAGGCGCTGGTCCATGGGCGTTGGCCAGCTCTGTCAGAAGACATTCCTTTGCATTCGCATCATCGTTTGAACGAGACATCTTTGGAGGTGTCTCTGGCGCATCGGCTTGTCCGGTCGGGGACAGACTTCTTTTTTCGCCATGTGCTTCAACTAGAACATCTCTCAGATCATCGGTCTTTACCTCGGGAGGTCTAATTAAGAAAAGAGGAGGCCTTTCTCATGTTGACGAAGGCGGACAGGACCATATGTGGATGCTGACTCCCCTACTTCTTGTCTGACCTGAAAGGGACTTGACCGGGCTGAGGATGCTTCAGTCTTATCTTTTTTGTTAGATTGATCTGTCCTTCGCACTGGCTGAGAGATGATTTCTGTGTCCAGACTGGACGGTTCAGACTGCATCGGAACTGCCGGACTACTGGCTTCTGCCTGGATGGCTGCTCGTCCACCCACTTTCACATGGAAGTGTGTCTCACCCCGCCACGGGCTCTCGCCCCATTGACTTGTTTGACTTTGATGGTCGGACAGAAACTAATGGACAATGCACTCTTTGGTGTCACTACGAACAGTGCTTCTCCAGTTCTCCAATTGCACACCGCTTAATTCTGGGTCATTTGAACTCGGCATGAACAGGTTCTGTCTGGGCACTTTGTGAACTCGAGTCAAAATGTTCCCTTTTCTAACCCAAAAGTCCTCTTGTGGTTTTTCCTGGGACAAACTTTCCATGGGTGTGGGTGTCCCTGTCAAGTCAATGAACTCAGATCCGAACTGGCTTGAGTCATGGTCTTGGAGCATTTTTGTCAACCCCAACAGTTCCCTACCATTTGTCTGCGCCGAAACACGCTCTCCCAATGTTGCATGTCTCAAATGCTCAGGTGCTACTTTGAAGATGTTCTTCCTGTGGAAAATCAAGAAGTTCCGTCCTATCTTCCCCATGATGACCGCAACACCAAACCACCGACCGCCCACTAAACGAACACCTCTCTCGTACTTCTCGTACTTCTGGGAGAAAGTCACGTTCTACCCGTGGCCGGGCATTGAGCGATGTGCGCAGGGTTTGGTCATCCTGCGCCATGATCAGGGCTGTTCTGGCCTGCGTTCGAATTGCCTGTGCTCGAGCGGCAGTCATGCAAAGCTGTCGTCCCTGCCACCAGACACGGCCACTCCTGAAGGACATCTCCTGGGAGTCTGGGATTCCTGCCGAAGACTAGTTGGCATGGAGATAAACCCTTCTGATTCAACAATTCGTTCTTGGCGTTCGCTCATACTCGGCCTT